TCGCGAGAGCAGGCGGTAAACAGCGTCCCCGGCGGGGCCCGCCCGCTGCCATTGAGCGCGGGGGCGGCGCCGCGCGCGGACCGGGGCCAGGTGAGTGCCGGGACAGCGGGGGGAGCGGGGACGGGACCGGGAACGGGACCGGGACCGGGACCGGGAACGGGAACGGGAACCCTGCACCGCTCCCGGCGGGCAAACTGCCTCGCCGCCCGGCTGCTGAAGAACGTCGGTCTCCCCCACTCTACCTCCCCTCCTACCTCCCCCCGCGCCGTGAGGCAGCAGGAGCAGCCATCGCCGCGGAGCCTGAGCGAGGGCGGCTCAGCCCGGGGGGTTCGTCCCGCTGTCTCTGAGGTGGTTTGTCCCTCTGTCCCCCGCCACCCCCCCCGTGACTTTTGTAACTTACTCCTGTGCCCCCGGGGGTTGAGGGGCTGCCAGTGACCCGGGGCTCCTTAGATTCCTTAGGTCCATCCCCCGGCGGGTCGGGGACCCCTCCCGGGGGCTCTCGGTGGGGCTGTGCCCCGTGGTACGGAACGTGGCTCCTCCGGGCTTAAAGGGTGTGCTGCCCTCTTTAAAAATAGAGAGATGGAGGGACCGAATTATCCCCCGTAATGCGCTTAGGAAAGCAAACGGGACCTTCGCGAGTTTCCACTCGGGGAAGAACAAATCCCAGGCGTTTCTCCCCCCGCCCCTCCCCGAGCTAAAGGGGTTGGGGATTGGGGGCCCCTCCCCGTGGGTTCGGGGGGTCCGGCTGGTGCTCTGTGTCTCTGGAGAGTTGTTGTGGAATGAGAGAAAAGTGAAACGCTAAGAACCGAGAGAGGTCTCGCGGTTTTTCGTTTGGTTTTTAATTGACCTGGAGCGTGGAGAACACGGGAGTTCACCACGCGTGCCGCCGCTGGTCCCTCCCGCGACACCCGGGCCGGGAGCACATCACCCTTGCTGGAGCTTCTCGAGAGAAAGCAGCGCTGAAAAAAGTTTGATTGAAAAGCCAGACGAGTTTCCTGGAGGGGCGTTTGCTGGGGTATATCCGTGTTGTTTTGCTTTTCCCTTGTCCTCGCTGGAGTTTTTGTTGCCCAAGGATGCCGGGCTCGGTCAGGGGCGCTGATTCAGTGTTTTGGTGGCGGCTTTTTAAAGTCACTCGAAGCACAGCGATCTCGTTTGGGAGTGTTAATGGCGCTAATAAATCTCGCTAAGTTGTTGTGCCTGTTCCGTAGAAGGCGGCTGGATATACAGAGAAATCTGAAAAGCTGTTTTCATTCCTTATCCTCGGAGTATCAACCTTTATTTGAACCGGAGTAGGCTGCTGACCTGAGGGCTGATGAGCAGTGGCCACCCACCCTCCTTTAGTGTGAGAGACCTGTCGCTGTACCTGGCAGAATCGGGGCGGTTTTACCTTCGGTGCTACATGTTTTCCTGCTCGTTGTGAAAAAGTGTCTTGGGCAGGAGAAGGCAGGTTTGCGTGGCTCTCCGAAACGAGCTCGTTTGTTTTTCACCTCGCACAAGGCACGCTCCATGTTCAATTTAAATGTTATTGTTTCACAGAGCTGAGAAAAAAAAATGCTAAAATTAAACATTTATGTCTCAAACGCTTCAGGGGAAAACAACCTCCCCCCAAGGCAGTAGCTAAATAGAATTCAGAAGCAAATATTTGCAGTGGGCAGGTGTCATGCTTTATTTCTTCCTGGTTTGTTTGGGTGTTGGTTTTTTTTCTTGCAGAAAGTTAGTCTTAAAAAAAACCACAATCAACAGACCCACGCCCCATCATTAATTAATTCAGCTTTCCCTCAGTCCGTGCTTTTTATAATTAATATGTTCTTCCCACTAAGTTTCAGCTGAGGGTTGGTTAAAAAGTGAAGGCAGTTGATAAACTCTGATATTTGTATTCCTGGAGATGCAGGGTAGATGTACAATGAGCAGGATTGCTCCTCTGAATGCAGCATTCATCAGCACAAAGCCTGCTAAGCTGATATTAGATGGTAAATGGTTTGCTTTTAGTCCTCCTGAAAGAGGCTTTATGTGTCTTAGGGTGATGGCAGTTGACATAAATCAAACATGCAGTTGTCCACAAAATAATTTAATCTCCTCTTTTTGCTCAGTCCAACATCCAGCTGCACTTAGAGCAGACCTGCCACCAGCAGTAATTGCATTACAGTGGCTGGAAAACAGGGGCTTGATGAATTCCTGAGGTCTGATTCTTCAAGATGGGTTGGTGCAGGATTTTTCCAAGTCTGGTGATTAAATAACAAACACCCCAAAAAAAAGGTGTTACACTGAGGGTAGCCCAATCTAATGTTATGGGGTGTGACCCCAGGCAAGTGTTAATTCCCAGTGTGAATTTATGGGGTGGACTTTGTCTTGAAGCATCAGAAATTAAATTGTCAAATGCAGAAGAGTAAATACTTTGATGGATACAGAAAATCCTGCAACTCTGTGGTCAAAAACTACAGAGTAACTTCTGGCAGTGCCACTGCTCCTGCACGGGAAAGTTTTTCTTTAGTGATGAAAACAAATTAGGAACTGGAGGGATAAATAAATTATCAAGGAAAACTTGCTTCCCTTGTCACAGATAATTTGCAAGGGAAGCATTAAAATGGGCAGCTGTCACAGCCTTTTACTTGGGAAATCAGGTAATCTTGGGAGGCTGCCATTGATATCTCTCTTAGTACTCTGCAGAGATTAAAAAAGCTCAGGGAAACAGTGGACCAGGAGAGAATCATTAATCCTGAGGCTTCAAATATTTTCTGATTTCTCAGTAATTTAGGCATCAGCTTTTACTTTCTAGTTCCAAACCTCCAGTTCAGGCTTTGTGCTGTGTGTCTTTAATATTTGTGCCTACAAAGTTCCAATTTGTTGCTGACAGGTGGCTTTAGGAGAGTCACAACTGACTGGGAGGTGAAGGAAGCAGAGACCTGGAACTGTAGTGTAATAAACTGACTTTGGGAGGCAACTGGTGTGAGGTTTTGATTGTCGAAGGAGCAGCTGACTATATTTTCCCTGATAAAAGGGAGCAGGGGTTGATTAGAATGGTAGCCTGGGTTTATGGGGTTTCACAAGAGTGAGAATGTCCTGAAGCAGTAAAAAGAGGGCCAGCTCTTCACCTTTTAGTAACAGGGAACAGACAATATTAAGTAACAGTTTGGCAGGTTGTGCAAACAGATGGAGGTTATCTGAGGTGGCAGAATGAATGGGAGGGAGGAAGTAAAGGGATAATTTGGATCTATATGGGAGAGGAGGGCTGTTGATTGTGTTCCAGCTTATATTAGCTGTGTCTCTTGTGTTCCAGGCTTGGAGCCTGTGGTCACTGGCATGCTGTAGAGGAGCTCCAGTCTTAGCAAAGATCTTGGAATGCTGAGATTCCTTCATTTCCTCCCACAAAAAAAAACCCCAAACAAACAAAAAACACAACAAAACAAAACCAAAAAAAAACCCCAAAAAACACCTTTTTGTTATCTCTGAACAGATAAAAGGTTGTGAAACCTTTTTTTCCCTCCTGTGTGTAATAAAAACAGCTGTTCCAAATTCTCTGGAGTGCTGAGTGTGATGTCACATGAAATCAGGCGTTTATAAAACATGCCAAGGTGTTTTAGCAATTAAACCTCCTTGGAGCAGACTAACACTTGGAAAAACTTGAGTCAAGTGTGGACCTTATCAGGAAGCTGTCCTTGGTTGAAGGCCCTTTTTGGGAGCAGAATAATTGTCACGAGAAGCACGGTCGGGCTTTAAATGAGGTGCAGCTCAAATGAAGATGTTGGGGCGTGCTGAGCCCCAGGAGTTACAAAGGCAAGGAGTGTATGGCAGGGGGAGGCAATGAAAGTTATCACTTCAGTAAGACATGACCAGCCTGAAGCAGCTTCTGAGAAGGGCAGAAACAACAGAAGGAAGGGGCTTGACAGCAGCAGCTTGTTCCGGGTGGGGAGCTCTGTGTGCTTGGGGGGCTCTCCTGGCCCCTGTCCCTGGGGCAGCACAGTGACACAGCTCCTCTAGGACACTTGTGCTCTGCCATGAGCTTCCTTCAGGATCACTGGGAACCCCCACAAAGGGCAGGTGTGGCCTCCTCCCATAAAAACCAAGGAAAAAAACCCTTTCCTTTCAGGAGAAATTCCCTTTTTAAAAATCAGCCAGGCAGAAACGCAGGCGTAGACCAACGACACCAGACTCCTTTTGTCTTGCTTTGTACGTTGGAAAAGTGTCTATTCCAGCCTTATTTCTTAAAATTTGTTTTAATTGCATTCTCCAATGAGCAGTTGCATAATGTGTTCCCTGCCCTTCCCTCTTGCTGGTGCCTTACAAGGGAGGGAACCAGAACGGCAGCCAAATATCAGCCCCATGATGAAAGAATTGTTCCACTTAAAATGTCACTAATTTTGAGCCTGCTGAGTCCTGTGTGAGGAGGAAAGCTTCTATTAGCAGCTCCCCAGACAAAAGCAGTGCCCTGCATTGTTTAAAAGGCAGTTGTTGTTCCTCAGAGTTGAAGATAAGCAGATTCCTCTGCTCTGGGCTCCTTGGAGTTTGGCAGAGCAGGAAAGGAGGGCAAACTCAGTCACAAGGTAAGCATTTAGTGGGAATACCTGTTCTTTCGAACTGAATGAAGTGGACTGAATGAATGTGGAACTGAATGAAGCCTGCTTAGCAATAATTAAAAGTATATGATTTAACCACCTCTAACACCTGGAAGTATGAGGGAGTTTTGTGCTCTCTGTGGGGCACTGGGCAATCTTACAGCTGGTGCAGACAGGTAAGAGCCAGCTGTTAAATCGCATTCTTCTTTGTGCAGTAATGGCTTTGGGTTATCAGATATTTGGGCAGCAAATGCTCTTGGTGAGATGAGCAATTAAGTTTGAAAGGCTGGGAGAGTTGGGATTGTTCAGCCTGGAGAAGAGAAGCTTTGGGGTGACCTCATTGTGGCCTTCCAGGACCTGAAGGGAGCCCGCAAGGAAGATGGAGAGAGACTATTTCCAAGGGTCTGGAGTGCCAGGACGTGGGGAATGGCTTCATACTGACAGAGAGCAGGGTTAGATTGGATATCAGGGAGAAATTGTTCCCTGGGAGGGTGGGCAGGCCCTGGCACAGGTTGCCCAGAGAAGCTGTGGCTGCCCCATCCATGGCAGTGTCCAAGACCAGGTTGGATGGGGCTCTGAGCAACTTGGATAGTGGAAGGTGTCCCTGCCCAGGGAAACAGATGATCTTTAAGGTCCCTTCCAACCCAGACCATACCATGGCTGTGTGGAGGGAGGTTGTCTAGTGGTGCAGACCAAAACAGCTGTGTGCCTTGGAGAGCAGGGAAGTGCATCCAGTAAATTCTGACTGCCAGGGTAAGGTGAAAGAAGGGAATGTCATCATTTCTGGTGTCATCAACTTGCATGTTTGTCTCTGAGCTTTACTGGTTTCGTTTGTGCTTGGTTTGTCCTCTGAGGAGACAAAGAGCTCAGGCTGAGCGGGTGAGTTGCTGTTCTTTATGACTGAACTTACCACGTTTCACTTTTGTGAAACAAGAATAGAGATGACCATTTTATATTGAAGTGTCTTAGGTGGAGGTAAATCCTCTAATTAGGCTTAATTATTGTATGGAGACTCTTTCCCTGCCCTGTCTATCTTTTCAGGAAGTTTAATTTTAAACAGAGAAGGGGAGCTCATATAAAATACATATTATGTGCATTTTAGCCCACTTGTACTCTGGGTATGGGGACCTCACTGCAGCAATCAGAAACTTTTCTTTGGTTTTTTTTTTCCTCCCCTTCTTTATTTAAAAAACCCTTAAAACAATTACATTAACAACACTTGGAATAACCTCCTGCAAGTTGCTTATTTTATGAGTCCTCAAAGGATGCAAAACTCTGGCCTTCGTGAGGGTCCAATGAAAAAATTCCCACTGCCCATTTGCACCAGCAAAATGATATCATTCTGCTCAATAAAATAGTCTTGGCAATCAAGCAACACTTAGGGGGAAAAAAAAAAACCAAACCAGTAGCCCCAGATCCATTTTTTCAGGAGCATTTTATATCACTTGGAATCGCAGTGGAAAGTCGAAAATGAAAAAGGAAGTAATTGTGAAGTAATTGGGGGGAAATTGCTGTGTTCTAACTAAGATAAGTAGTTTTAGCTCGTTTTCCCTCTGCCCTTTCTGTTGAACAAGCAGCAATATTTGGAAGGCCAGTTGCAGTTTTGTGCAAGGTCCAGTTGCAGGCTCAGATTTTAGACCCCCAGGAATGGGATGAGCGGGGGCTGCAAGAGAAGAATTAGGATGACGGTTTTGGTTACACTGTTTTTGCTTAAAAAACAAACAAACAAAAACCCCACAACAAACTAAAAATGGAAACCTGATAGTTCTTTGCATTTGCATAGATAGAAACCTGTTCTCTGCATTTTTTACACTGTAGAAGCTCACTCTTGAAGCTGGTCCTGACAGCATCTTTCTTATTTACCTGACTGTAATTTTCTCAGTGTGAGGAGCACCGTGTAAATGTATTTTTCTTGGTTCTTTTGCCTGAGTGCTCTGAGTTGGTGGTGTCATCTTTCAAGGGCTGAGGGGATAAAAGCTTCTGTACCCTTCCTTGGGATGTTAGAGGGAGTGAATCTGCAGCTGAGGAATGTAGTTGCATGATGAGATTTTCCTCTGGCAGTGTAGAATCCAAGTGCTTTCCCTCCCTCTTTTGCCTGGCAAGGCTGGGATTTGCTGCCAAGTTGGTTCGGTCAGGCCCACCTCCCTCCCTTCTCCTTGAATCCTAAAGTGAATCCCCTCCAGACACTGCAAACTAACAAACCACAGTGGGAGCAGTGCAGGTCAAGCTCCAGATTTGTCCTGGCTGGAGGCTCCTGTCTGGAATGTCTGGGTACAGCTTCAAGGGTGATCATTTCATCAGCAAACCTGATTGACAAGGTGAAATCACTTATAGAATGGGCTCCCAGCATATATGTACATTTAGGAAGGGAAATGGGGGCTTTTTCCGTGTGGAAAAGCACTTGCCTGTGCTTTTCCCTCCTGTTTTCCCTTCCTTGGCTAGATCAGGAATGCAGGTTGTGCTTGACCACGAATGCAGGGTTTTTAAGGAAATAAAATTCAGCCAGGGCAGCTGCACTGAGTGCATTCCAGTGCCTTTCCAGATTAATGGCATCTAAAGGGATATTTGCCAATGACTAATGTGTGAATAAAGTAAATTCCTTGCAATTCTTGATTTCCTTTGGCACCTTATTTGGTGTTAATTCTAAGCCAGAAGCCTCTTCTATTGATAAATCTGCAGCCCATATTGAATTTGCTGGTATAATCCTCATCAACTTTTAGGGAGAGTGGGCTGGGAAAGGATAATCCAACCTCAGTTGTGGGTACGTGGGCCATTTTTTGAAGTGATAAGCAGAGAAACAAGATGTGAATTGCACTGAGATGGTTTTCCCCAGTGCTTTTTCAGCCTTGAAACACACGGTGCTCTCTGAGGTCCCGACCATGTTTGACCCTGCTGTGCTGCCCAGTTGAGCAGCTGTTTGCACCAGAATTCTGAGGGCTTTCATCTTTGAGTGAAACACCCTGTTTTTGCTCAGCTCAGCAGCTCTGAATTTACTGGGCAGCACCAGCCCCTCATATTAAGGGTGTTTGGATTATTATGTCGTGCCATTGGATGCAGGAGGTAATTAACGTACTGATTGTTGTTGTTTCCAAAGCTGTTACTCTTGAACTGTGCTTGTGACAGGTGTAACTAAAATTACTCTTGAAGGGTTTAAAATACTGTTCCTTGGTTTTCTAAATTTGCCTCACTCGTTTCAGTGCCCCTTGCCTGGCAAGACACAGGGCAAATCCACCTGCTGATGAACCGAAGCTCAGAGGGAGCCTCTGTTTCCCTGCTGGATTGTGTTACAGGGCCCTGGAATGTTTGGTGCCTCCTGGAGGAAGTGCAGCTAGACTGTGGGATGGGAATGTTCCTTTTGCATGGCTCTGGCATGTTGGAATTCCTCAGGTCCTGGGTTTTAGTGCTGAGCAAGTGTTGGGTTCCACATGGTACTTAAAGAACCACCTAATTAGTTCCTGTGGTGTTAAAAATGCTCTGGGATGCTTCCACCAAAGGTGCTGGGTGAAAGCAGTTGGTGTTTTTGAAGGAATGTGCTATTTTGAGGAAGGATAATTCTTTTTCCCTACCTCGTTCAGCCCTTGGCCTTTAGAATGGTATCAACAAAGGAAGTGACTCTTACAGATGCTTTTGTGATGTGGTTTCTAATTTACTGAGGCTCAGATCCTTTGGCTCATTTCACCAAGGAGCTTTTTTCCAGTTACTGCCTGGACCAGCTCTTGGAGCTGAAAGATGCCATCCCTGAGTGCCAACCCTGCCTCCCAAAAATCAGAACAACTTGCACTACAAATATTTCAACACGAGAACTCAGCCTTTGAAGTTTTGGCACTTATTTGGCAAAGGATGTCTCTCCAAAGAGGTATTTTTAGCAAACACTATATATAGAGCTTCAGATCTGCATCTTTGTTTGCTTTTTTGTGTGGAGAATATTTTCACTGTGTGGGGTAAAAATGCCAAGATGCTCAAGCCACAGTCGGGTTCCAGCTGTCTGGAGTTTGGTGGGAGCTCTGCCTGTCCATGTTAGCCAGTTCCAGGTCCTCCTCTCCTGGGGAGGTCCAGTTTTCAGGGATGAAGGGAGGAGGGATGGCACCTGCTTTGTTTGCTTCATTTGGCCTTTGGAGTATATAACACATATTTTAAGATAACACATTTTAATATAACACACATTTTAAGTGTAGAGTGTAGGACTAATATTTCCTGAGACTGGGTCTCTAAAAGTGCTTGAGAAACCTGTCACAGGCCAACAGAGGCTCTGGAGATGATCGGGAGAAGCAAACTGCTAAATCCAGAGGCTAATTCCAGGTATCCCCATCACAGCAAAACTTGGGAATTCCCAGGCTCCTTTTGTTTTGCCCCCACCACAGTCAGAGTTTCTTTTTCTCCAGGAGGGTGTGAAGGATGTGCTCCTTCAGCAGCAGCTGCACCTCTGAAAAGCCCTGGGCTCAGGTCACCTGAGCCTTTTTTCCCGTTTCCTGCTATAATTCTGGATTTTCCCAGAGTTCCCAGTGCCATTTTCAGTGTTAAAAATAGGATTCCATAAAGCATTTTTATGTTCCTTAAGTGCACGCATCTTGTCCTTCCAACGTGTGTCTGCAGGAAGCTTTGCCGGGGAAGCAGCTCTGACCTCGCCTGACTGTAACACTAAACTCAAGGTAAGAGGCAGCACTGAGGCAGCAATTCCATGTCTCAGCTCTTCCTTCGGGGTTTTTGGCAGCTCCTGCAGGTTTCCCTTTGTGCCTCACATGCTGCTGTGGTGCTGCAGAGTTAACTCTCTCTCTTTTAGTGATTTTTTTGGGGTTTTGTTGTGCCTCACTTGCCCCGTTTTCTGAAATCAGGTTGGAGTTGTCCACGTCTTTTGAGAACTGTATTTGGAGAGTGTGGATGGATCAACAGCCCTGCAAGTGTCCAGGAATAGCTGGATGAGGCACTTAATGCCATGGATGAGTTGACACGGGTTGGACTCGATGATCTTGGAGGTCTTTTCCAACCTTTATGAGTCTCTGTTATCTTGGATATATCCCTGCTCCTAACTGGGTGGATTTGGAAGGGGCCTGTTCCCTACAGTTTATAAAGTACCTCAAACTCTGGATGGAAAATATTTTAAAGGGGTCAGAACATCCCTTGCTTGAAGGCTGGGAGGAAGGTCCCTGACCCAGGGAAGCAGGATAAAGCTGCAGCTCCAGCTCCCTGGAAGATGAAGATCCTTTCTGGCACATTAACAGGAGGAGGAATAACCCAGAGGGGAGGAAAGCAGCTTGAGGCTTGGGAGCAACCCCAGGAGACCTTTGGAGCTCTGGGCATGCTGGGAAGAGGGAGGGCACACACCTTTCCTCCTGGAGGCTTCCAGCAGCTTCCCTGTGCTTTCAGGATCTGCTGGAATTTCCATCATTTATTTTGCAAAGTTTTACTCAAGGGGATGCCAAACAAAAAAGAGGAGGGGGGCAGGGAAAAGCAGCCTGGCCTCCAGATCTTGTTCCATCCCTGAGTTCTTATCTTAGATCTGGGGAGAATAATGAAATTTTTGTTATGGATCTAGGCTAGGGAGGTAGGGCTCAGTATCCGTGGGGCATAATCTGGGGAGTAAAAAGTGGTAGTTTTTCACAGGTCTTTTCTCACTGCTTCTAAAATTTGGGATTTCACTTGGTTTTCTCTCTGTAAATGAGTGCAGTTAAAATGTGTTTTAAGGCTCTGCTGAAGCAATAATTAATCATCTGAGGAATCACAGATGTAAATGTTTTTGATTCTGTGCTAACACTACGTTATTAGGCCGCTTTCTCTTTATTTTTTGTGGTGCTCTGTGTTTCCAGGAGTGAAGAGAGCAGAAATCCCAGTGATTTGTGGAGCTGAGATGTAGTCCCTCCTTCCCCTGTGTTACATCCCTGTGACAAACTGCATTCCTGATGTTGTGTGGCTCGACTGGGAAAGTGTCAAACTTTCCCAAGGTTGGCTGTTTATCAGAGCTCTAAAAGGCAGCTGATTAATGGTATTTGCATATGAGCAGCAGGGTGTGCAAACACTGGCTGGGGAGTCATTCCAAGGAATGCTTTCAGCTGGACTCAGGGAACAGCATTTCCAAGCTGAGGCTGCTCAGCTTGGAAACACTGTCACCAAACTTGGCCTCTTGCAGTGGGTTAATATTTCATTGTCCTTCCCATTGCTTTTCCCCATAAATTGTCCTCCTGTTTCTGAAATCCGAGATTCCAACTCCGTCCTTGGGCACAGGGAAAAACCATCTCGGTGCTTCACCTTGCCACACTCCCTCCCAGATCCACGACTCCCAGGCCAGTGCTGCACTCACCAGATGGGCAGCTCAGGCAAGGCATATTTTTTGGGTCAAATGATGAATTTTCAGAGCAAATTAATTAAGAATTTGTGAATACTTAAGACCACAGTCCATCATACACACGAACTCCTTGAGCTCCTGCCGTGACCTGCTGGCTCCAGGGATGATGTTTATTTTCTTGCAGGCACACCCTAAGTACATTTTTGCCCCTTTTTTTTTTTTAAACTCTGTAGGGTTTGTTTTTGCACATGGGGAAATAAAATAAACTGCAGATCATCTGTTCCTTAATGCAGTTTCCTGTGTTGTAGCTGAGGAGCGTCCTTCCTGTGGGCATGCATCACCTCCAGATGGTCAGGACTTCAGCTCTTGCATCACTGGGCAGAAATTTCAGGGAGGTTTCTCCTCCTCAAATCACCACCAGAGGTTGTGTTTGGGACACCTGAGCTGGTAACTCTGCTGGGAGAGCCGTTGAGTGGGATGAGAGGAGAGGGACTGAGGAAAGAGGGAGAAATTCGAGCGAGCCCTAGAGTGGGTGTTGCTGGTGTGTGGCTGTAGGTCGGGCATTGCCGTTCATCGTGGTCAGCCATTCCCTTGGAAATCAAGTGGATCGTGTTCTGTGCCGTTGCAGCTGAGTTTACCTGACTCACCTTTAGTAGGAAAACTGCTGGAATGCCTGGCCAGGACTGGAGAGGGATCAGCCACGAGGAGAGGAAGGGGCCTGTCTTTCCAAGAAGTAATTGCAGACCTGCACTGGCCAGTCCTTGAAGCGGGACTTGGCAGCAGTGCCTGTGCTGTCAGTGTGAGGGCCTTGAGCAGGGGGCCCATCCCCACGAGGAAATGTTCATGTTAAATAATATTTCCAAAGTGGAAATGACCTCATTCTTCCTATTTGGGTTTTTCTCTGGTTGCTATTTTTGGGAAGTGGCTGGTTGTGTCCAGCTTGTCAGGCAGTTCAGGTGGCTGCCTGAGGGACAGCCCCAGTTTCTTTGCCACTCCACCAGGCTCCATCTTTGCACTGAGCTGGTGTTTCCTCAGTTTCCTGCAGGGAACTCCACTTGTGTTTATCTGCACTTGGCAGATAAAGGAAAGGAGGCACAGTGGCACTGGGAACACCTTGAGAAGGAACAGTGAGAGCCACTCTGCAGGAACAGGAGTGGGGCCTCTCCTTGGAATGAGGTGACCTGTGTTCCATGAAGAGCCCTTCTGACTGCTGATCCTGCTCCTTTCCCAGTCAGGAGAGTGCTCAGCCCTTAGGACACGCTCCAAGACTCTTCTGAAGGCTTCCTTGGTGGGAAAGGTTTTGCTCCTAGAGAATTTTCTGTTCTGCTTCCCATAATCCATTTCATCTTGAAAGCACAGGAAACTGGGCTTTTTAAAGATTTATTTGGTTTTAATGGGGAATTTTCCCCTTTCTAGTGTGTTTAACATCCAGCCCTAGTATCTCAGGGAAACTTCAGCAAAGCTTTCCCTACCCTTTTCCCTCTCACTTTCTCCTGCAGCTGGATGTAGCCAGAGCTTTTCCCCACACCCTGTTTTTCCTCTCTTATCCTTTAACTAGGAAACCAGATAATAGAATCAAATATCTGAGCCTCATTTAAAGGAGCACACCACCCATTCCCAGTGAGCTTTCCCAGTCCAAGACCTTTCACTGGGAAATACCCCCCACAAACTGTCATCATCTGTCCCCTACGGGCAAGACTTCTATTTCCTTTTCCTTCCTTGCCTTTCCCTTCCCTTCCTAGAAGGGTGAAGGTGGGATTGTGTAGGAGGGATCAATAACAAAGCATTCCTGGTCACCCTCCAGCCCTGCAGGAGAGAAGAGCAGTCGGGGCATTAAGGAAAGGCTGCCGGAAGACTCTGGGATTTCACAAAGGCTCTGCCTCTGCAAGAGCTGTTTTCCTCCATAGCTAAACCTCCCAGTTTCGGAGGGGTAAGGCCCAAGGTGGTCTGCTTTGTGTGCCAGCAGCTGTCTGCTTCTCCAGCAGTGACAGTCAAAGGAATGAGCTGTTGGAGTGGGATTGGAGCAGGCAAACATCTGCTCTCCAGTGCTGACAACGTGCACTACCTGCACTGAGGGATCTGTAGGGCCAGAGGGATCTGTTGTGCTCGTTAACCCTGGCCAGAGGCACTGCCCAGGCCATGGCAGGTCACTGGGGCTCTGCAGCTCGTTTAGCAACTCAGCTCCTCTGCTGGCACAGACCTATTGTGTGTAATTACTTAAATTGATTGATGGGATCTAAAAAGAGCCTGGCGAGAGTCGGGGACTCGAACACACAGCACTGGAAAAGGAAAAGCAGACTTGGTGCTCCCTTCTCCAGCTTTCTCCAGTGCAGAAGCCCCTCCTAGTTCCCAAGGGTCCTGCTTCCCCAGGCTCCCTGGAAAATCGAAGAGCTTTAGAGCATGCTTAAAATTTGAGAGGAGAGTTTCTTGGATCAAAGCCAGAACTGTGTTGCAGTTTCATTGACACTTTTAAGTAGGAGATGCACCGTAAGCTCCTTCTCTTACCCTTTACTTCTGTCCTGAGTTGTGTCTCTGGGCCATTAAAGATGCAGAGAAGTCCATGTTCCTTTTGGACACTTGTACATGTTTTGGGGTGGGACATATTTCTCACTAGACCTGAGCAGAACTTTATCCAGCTGAGGAGGAAGCAGATTTTTGATCCCCGACCTTGCTCTGTCTGTAGTTATCTCATGGTCTAAAACATTGCAGCAAAATATTTAGCTGGATTTTTTTTCTTTTTTTATACCACTTAATTTAGCAGATCTTAAAAGAATGTTTTCTTATGCCTGGCTGCAAGTACCTGTTCAAAGCTGTGAAAATGCTTAAGTGCACAGGAATGCAATGACTCCAGTACATAGGAGGGCTTCCTGTTTTTAGACACTTGTGAGAGGACAAAGATTTGCAGCTCTCTGAGACTTGGGGACAGACACAAGTGGGCTGGAGCAAAGCTATGAAATGCTGTTTCACTTGGTTTTCCAGGAAGCTGCTGCTTTCTCTCATCCCCAGGAAATTGAAATGCATCAGCTCAGATGCCAGGCTAAATCCTGGAAGAGAGGGATGGGACTGCAGGTCTGCTTCCCTCATCATGTCTTGTGCTTCAGGGTGTTGCCCTGAGCTGACCTCCCGTGTGGAGCACTCCCTGGAGCGCAGCAGCGTGTGGATCCACCAGCAGCTCCCCTCCCATTCCCAGCTCTGCCCTCCATCCTTGCTGATGGAGCAGAAGTACGACCACTCTGACCCCTGTCCTCATGAGCTGGGTGGGGAGCCCTCCCTTGCAGCCACACACACTGAAGCAGTTTGAGAGGGTACTTCTAACCCCCAAATTATTGGACTGTGTTAAAAAGCCAAGAAAATCACATTACCTGGAAAGAACTGAGCTGATGAAGATTTCTGATGTGTCGTTGAATGCCGAGAGAGTGTTGTGAGTACAGAGTGTCTCCACATGCGCTCCTGACTTTGGGACAGACTGCTGATAGAGCATGAAAAATATCATTGTATGGCCAAAGCTTCGGCAAGTGGAGCTGAGGTGGCAGTGACCTTATTAGTGGGTTTGTGTTTCCCAAACCTCAGATTGACCGGTCTCCCGTGGTTTGGGAAAGCCGAGGTTACAACGTCGGGATCAAAAGTTTCTTTGCTGCTTG